TCTCTGTCTCCATCTCTATCATGCTGCAGGGCAGGGGGAGGGATGGGGAGGGGAGGCGCTCGCACACACACACACGCTCTCTTTCTCCATCTCTATCATGCTGCAGGGCAGGGGGAGGGATGGGGAGGGGAGGCGCTCGCACACACACACGCTCTCTCTCTCCATCTCTATCATGCTGCAGGGCAGGGGGAGGGATGGGGAGAGGAGGCGCTCGCACACTCACACGCTCTCTCTCTCCATCTCTATCATGCTGCAGGGCAGGGGGAGGGATGGGGAGAGGAGGCGCTCGCACACTCACACGCTCTCTCTCTCCATCTCTATCATGCTGCAGGGCAGGGGGAGGGATGGGGAGGGGAGGCACTCACACACACACACGCTCTCTCTCTCCATCTCTATCATGCTGCAGGGCAGGGGGAGGGATGGGGAGGGGAGGCACTCACACACACACACGCTCTCTGTCTCTCTCATGCTGCGTAGGGGCGGGGTATGGAGGGGAAGCGCCCCGGGTCTGTCTCTATCTCTATCATGCTGGGTGGGGGTGGGTGGGGTTAGCGGGTGCTCTGGGGAGAAGTCTGGAGTAGCAATTCTTGGGAGAAGCTTGTAGAAGAAGTAGGGTGTGTAATTCAAGGAAAAAATTCAGCGTGGCAATTCATGGGAGATATCTGGGTGTGGTAATTCCTGGAAGAAGGTCGTAGAAGAAATCCACATGTGTAATTCAAGGAAGAAGTCCAGGATAGAAATTCATGGGAGAAATCCGGGTCTGTAATTCGAGGAAGAAATTCGGGGTAGAAATTCATGGGAGAAATCTGGGTGTGTAATTCAAGGAAGAAATTAGGAGTAGAAGCTCATGGAAGAAATTTGGGAGAGAAATTCAGAGGAGAAATTAATGGTGGAAAACTAGGGGAGAAATCTGGTGGAAAAATCCAATAAATTCCCTCCCCCCAAATCATCTTAATGGGAATACCATGAGAGGAATCTGTGGGGGCAATCCGGGAGAGAAATTCATGGGAGACATCAGGGGAGAAATTTTGGGGATATAAAGTTTCGGCTGGTTGCTTACTGAGACCCTCTTACAAACCCTGTAGATTAGTTAGTGTCTGTCGATTAAGTCTGTGGCTTAATCGAACCTTTCTCATAAATATCTGTAGGTTAAAGACATGCTCTAGCAATTTCTAGCTTAATGGGGCTCTCCGGTGAATTCTATAGATTAAACATTCCCTCTCGCGAAAATATGTAGCTCAAAGCTAGGTGCCTTTGCACGAAACCTGTAGGTTAAAAACGTATCCACTGCCGAAATCTGTAGATTAAAGGTTACTTCCTACAAAGTTTGTAGTTTAAAGTTGCTCTCCCACGAGGTCTTTAGCGTTTTTTTAGCAATAATTCATTGTTGTAATAATGCACACAATTAACAGCGTGGGCGTTAGCTTCAAAACTCATCCTATAAGTGTATGTTTATCAATCCTATATTGAAAATAAGATGTCGTCTCCACAAACGGCTGTGAAACATTGTGTGTGCGAGTTTCAAGGTGGGCAAGTCTGTATGTGTTCCTGATATGTGTGTTTAATTCATGCATGTTCCTGTGAACACTATTTGTCTGTAATGTTTTGACATTTAAACAAGCAATAATTGTGTGCTTCAGAAAGTCGAATATCGTCATTTAAACAATTGTATTTGTCATTTAATAGCACACATTAGAGATATTAAAGTACATTTTCATGGTAAGTGGTGTGCACGTTTTGAACAAATTTGATGTTGTGCTGTGGGAAATAATGTGAGTTCAGGTGTTGTATGTCCATGTTGACACCTGGCTGGTAATGGACTATAAAGTTGCTCGAATCAATCGTTACTGGCAGCGTTCCCAGCAAGCCCACATAGTACAGGTCTTATTACATCTTTCCATTTTTCGGCTTTCATATTCTACTTATGATGCCTGCTAACATTTACAGAGGAAACATAATTATTATAAAATTATGTCTTTGACAGCGATAAATATTATTAGGAGCCCCGTGGTTTGAATAGTCATTCCAAGAAAGAGAATACATTTGAATGTCGTGCATACAAGAAAAAAAATGCAGCATAGTAAATATCTGTGTTTCAACTTATT